ATCACCAAAAACTCATACAAACCAAAGGGTGTATGAAAAGCAGTCTTAGGAATATCTTCTTTGGGCATCGGTACTTGCCAATACCTAGAAGCAAGATCTAGCTTGGTGAACCAACAACTTCTCCCCAGACGATCCAAAAGATCAACAGTGTCAGGAAGAGGTTACATATCCGGGATCATCACTTCTTTTGATGGATGATAGTCAATACAGAAACGAATACCCCCATCAGGCTTCATCACAAAATTAAGTTCACATGTCTAAGGACTCTGCAACTTTCGAATAACACCCTTTTCCAACATCTTCTTGACGTTTGCACGTAAAATCTTGATCTCTTTGGGCGATCGACAACAAACAGAAACCTTGATTGGACAAGCATCCCCAGTTGGAATTGGATGGCATGTGGCAATCTTGGCCCTAGATGATAGGTCAAATTCAAAAAAGTTGGCATACTCTTTCATGAGCTGGTCAACTATTACAATACAAAGATTGTCAAAGGGATTGGAAAAAGGAAGAGCAGAACAAGATGGAAACATAGAAGGAAATAGTGGGGAGACAAAAGTAATCAAAACAAAAGTAGAAGAAGAGGGACAAAGAGGTACGAAAGTGAGAGGAATAGATGAAATATAAGGAAGTATAATACAAGGGGGAAAAACTTCAAAGTCACACTTGGCATGATTACGATGCAACCAATCTATACCAAGGATGAGGTCAAAAGCTTGACTCGGGACCACCCTCAATAACTACAATCCAAGCTTGAGGTCGCCCACATGCACAACCAGGTCCGCCTCATCCCGTGCACATGCATGTGTACAATTGTTACTATAAAGAATGAAAACTGGCTCCACCATACGACATATCTGTAAATGGCAATGTGTGGCAACAGGTCGAGCAATACAAGATAAACTCAAACCTCAACCAACATGGAGAGAATAATAAGAGACATCTTGTTATAAAAACGAATTTGGAAAGTAAACACTTAATGAATTGGTGCTAAGTGAACCCCGTAATGATACTCTCAAAAGAAATATAAAGGGGTCACTGACTTATTCATGCAAGGTCCCTCCATTAGTCTCATGACTCTTCGTTTCCTAGATGCATCTCGGTGTCCAGACCTTCCACTACAGTAGCACCAACAGGACGTTGTTAACGCCAAGGTCTACACCCAAGAAATGGAGGTCACTAGTCTGGAAAATACCGACAAACGCTAATAAGTATAACCAACTTCATCACATGCCCAGTAGTGAATGTCACAACCACGACCATGTCCTTGCCCTTGTCCTTAGACTTGAGCAACAGTAGCATCAACTTCCATTGAAACAAGACCATCGCCCACAAGAAATGGAATGGAAGGATGTGCAATGAGAAGTGGAACAGGCGATGTCTCATAATGTTGTGCCAAGTGAAAAGCATTGTCAAGAGTGGCTAAAACAAGTGCATGCACAAGTCCAACAAAATCTTGACAAAGTGCTAGCCACAACATTCCTAACTTGATCCACTCTGACATATTTGGCTCTACATGAAGCAAGAGGTTTCAAAAAAGACGCCAAATTGCATCACTGACTCAGATGACTTTTAACAAAGATGATGCAATTGTTGGAAAGCATCATCACAATCATCAGTATATCCAAATGTGTGTTTGAAGACATTTGGAAGAACACTCCAATCCCCATGAGTGGTTGCTTAAACTATTGTACCACTGTAGTGTTGTCCTTTAAAGACATATGGGAAACTCATACAAATGTCAAACATTATCCCAAGAATGATATGTGGCAATCACCATGAAATGATCGAATCAATAGTATACATCATCCTTAGGATTTCCATGAAAGAACTTCAGTTGGATGCGAGGATTGGCACCAAGAGCAGGAGAAGTTGTACCACATATCGTGAATGCCGCCATCAACTAAGTTTGTTTGTTCAATTGCAATCACATAGTATCAAGCAATTGTACCAATTACTACTCTAGAATCAAAGGAGGATGAGACTACTACTTTGCCACGAAGATGAATGAAAAGGAAAAAGCAAAAAAAGAGAAATGAGAAAAAAACTAGAAGGAAAGGGAAATCTAGACAATGGAAAAGCTAGATCCAAACAAAAATCCTGAAAGAAAAGAATAAAAGAAAGGAAATGGAAAAAGTTAGATTTAAAGAATACAAAAATTAGATCTAAACTAAAATCCTAAATCCAAGCACTCTTTAAAGACAATAAAAAGTGCTTTTCACCTCCACCAATGTAAATGTATGGAATATGGAAAGGGAATACAGAAAATGTACATATTAATTAGTGAGTGGTCCAGATTAAAACCAATCTAATAACTACTAAAATCCCACTATGCTAATATTAGTATATAACATCGTAGCCATACATTTGGACCTCACACCTCTATTTTCCCACTGTAATTCTCAAAAACACAATCTTAAAAATTTTATGGAAAAAAAAAGAGGTGTCACTAAATTTCCCATAGTAAATTATTTTAATGCAAAAACTTCAATTAGTAAACAATGTCAAGAAATTGAGTGATCTTTTATACTCACAAATTTACCCATAGTTACACTAAAACCTCTAGACATATCAATCTAGACCTCCTCCCACCAATCTCTGCCCCTCTACTTTGGTAGAGGCTTTGGAATTTCAACCAGCTTACGTTATCATGGCTGCCACCCCACGATGCTGTAATTGTTTCACAATGGAGCAGCAAGACTGCCTCCTACAACTGCTGTGAGAAAAATTCAATCTACAAAAAATGGAATCCACTGTTACTGAATCTTGAGACTAAACTGATTTCCTGCCATAGCTCTTGGACGATCCTGAGAGTGGGAAAAATAGAACATTGTAAATCTCCAAAGTGATCTCTCATTTTATTCTAGAGCCGATCAGAGGCAGTATGCAGAAGGAAAAACTACTAGCAATCCAGCACAATTGAATCCTAACATGAATTCCTGATTTGGAATTTTAATCGGCCGGAGGCCAGCACTGCTAGCGTGACCCAGAGTGACAATGAGCCCTCAAGCATCCAGCTGTGTCCACAACCCATTGGCCAACCAAAATATCCACTCGATATTTACCAATGTATGCCTACTTGATATATATCGTGCATGCATGGCAATGCTTCCTGATGCAGGACGCGGACGTGAAAGCGATCTTGGACGACTTTCGGGAGCAAGTTGCCGATCAATCGGCATTACCATCTCAAATGTAACATCATAGCGTTGGAGCTTCGCTCAATTTCCATCTAGTTTTCATCAGAGCGTCTGTTTGGTCAGAGAAAAAATGTCCCGTGCGTATAACCAGACTCTAAAACACTAGAAAAATGTCATGGACAAGTGAGCGTCTCTGAAACACCACGAACTACCCCTACCAGGGAAATTTTCATGGATTTGCCCGGGCATCAAAGTGAGTTCCGCGAAAATGAACAAAGTTTTTGCCCCAAGATACATTGCAGCCGAAGGCAAGTATTATAGTGACTATTCTTTGAGTGAAACCACAATTTTAAACCGGCTCAGACATTAAGGGCAGATATGATCATTGAGTTCCGGCTTCCACAATCCACCACCACGAATTTGGAGAGTGAGATGCTAGCCACGAAGGTGCAATCAAAAGATAAAATCTTATCAGAGTTAGACTTTAGAATTTGCTGATATCTATAACTTTTTTCTTTTTTTCTTCTTGAGCCCTTGTTAAAAGTCGCAGAGCTTCATGTCACTAGAGCTTTTGTGTCTCTGTACAGTAGCTTCTGCTTCATACGTATATGTGCAAAGAACAGCAATCAAAAAAGATAAAATCTATGCTTGTATATAAACCAAAGACAACAGATCATAATATATTAAATTTCAATTCTAAGATATTTCAAAACTGGATCAAAACAATATGGAAATAGAATTGGAAGCAATAGACTATCAAGACCCCAATCATACATGCACTATTGCCAGCCAGTCACTATTCCATGGAGTGGGAATTTATATGCCATTCCCAAAACCACAGGATGGGGAACAGTCTATGTATTCCTTCTGGAAACAGAGCAGAGAATGTAGCATACATGCTGTATACCATCAACTGGAGGAGGGAGAGACAAGATAGCAAGCTAGAGCTCGGGGAAAACCACTATATTGTAGTTTTTACATCCTAACCTGGCCATATAACAAAATGTTGATTTGCATACAGTTTCACAATGTTGATCTAGTGGATCAAGAAAGTCAGCTCATTTAAGGATAATTGTGTTGTGAACAGTTTGTTGCAAGCAATCTAGATAGAATATAACTTCATTAAACAAAGCTTAGGAGAAGGAATTTGTGCTGCCATTAGATGACATCCTGTAACATGCTGCTGTGCGAGTTACTGGGTGATTGCCAATTAAATCCCTCAAACCAAAGTAGGAAACTAAGAGCTAGCCACCACCCTGCCGATGCACTTTCAGGAAACAAGCAGCTATGGTTTGCTGTAGATGTTCTTGCGTGCTCTTGAGGAAGTTTTACACTCTGCGTGATAACAAAGGTGAATATGGATAGTTTCTGTGGGAACCAATGGACATGCGTTGATCTTCCTTAACATGTTCTTAAAGTTATAGATAATGGACTTGCTGAGAAGTCATTTGAAATTCATTCAGTGCTATGGAGCCGATCGTTCCAGCCGGATCTACATTTGCTATTCGTCTCACGCCGGTTCAAGGTTCAAAACAGAGGACCACTTCTCAGCCTGACCACCCACGCTTTATCGGAGAATTGCGGCAGCTGCACTCCATACATTCCGAAGATCCAGGCATCGTTTCAAAGCCAAGATCATTCTCTTTCCATCAAACCAATCGGCATGTCAATCGGATAATCCTGCACCGAGAAATCGCAGCGCAAACTCAAAGAAAAAACACATAACCTTCAATCCGAGGGCCACAAAAGATCCCCACCGTTGGCTGTGGGTCACATCGCACGGCCTCAATTCAATTTGCTCGATCCGCGCCAGGCCCCGGCAGCCAATCAAATGCCAGTCACCAAAGCCTTCTAAAAAACAAAAAAGAGAGAAAAGCAAGACGCCATAGCTTGGAGATTAACTTCGCGAGCGCGCGCGCGGCTTCCAGGTTTCTTGGAGGAAGAGAGGTCTAGCCTAGGTTTAGTTCGATCAATTGCTCTCCAGTCTCTCCTCAGAGGCTAGGTTTCCATTCCATTCGTGTGATCGATCGATCGAAATATTTTGGAGAGATGGCAGAGGCCGAGGTTCCCGTAGGGACGGCGGAGGCGAAGGAAATCCCCGAGGCGGAGCCGGAAGCAGTGGATCCTCCTGCGGCCGGAGAGGAGAAATCCAGCGGCGAGGGCGAGCAAGGCGCTGGCGATGGCGAGGATGCGTCGGCCAAGGGAGAGAAGCCGAAGAAAGGAAGGAAGAAAGGGAAGAAGGCCGCGGCCACTCCTCGGAAGAAGGCAGCGGCGAGCACAGCGGCCGCTAAGGCGCCAGTAGCGGCGAAGGCGAAGAGCAATCCCAAGCCGAGGGCGGCGAGAGCGCAATCCACACATCCGCCATATCTCGAGGTAAGCGTCAAGAAAGATGTTCTTGGTTGGTTACGAGCAGAAGAGGATCGTGTTCTAGAGCTCATGGATCGCGCTTTTGTTTTCCAGATGATAATGGAGGCCATCTCGACGCTCAAGGAGAGGGGTGGATCCAGCCAGTACGCCATCGCCAAGTTTCTCGATGACAATTACGAGCTCCCCCCGACTTACAAGAAGACGCTGCTCATCCAGCTCCGGAACCTCACCGAGAAGGGCAAGCTCACGAAGATCAAAGGCTCCTTCAAGGTTGGATCGGGCGTTCCAAAGCCAGCTCCAGCGGAGGCAGCGCCAGCTCCCAAGCCGAAGGTCGCGGCCGCTGCCAAGAAGAAACCATCCGAGACAAAGGAGAAGAAGGTGGCGAAGGTTAGTGGTGCTTCCAAGGCCAGGAAGCCCAAAGCTGTAGCTTCTCCGAGGAAGCAGCAGCCGATGAGGAAAGGCAAAGCTGTAGCTTCCACCTCTTCCCCCACTCCGGCATCCCTCAAGGCGAGCAAGGTGATCAAGAAGAAACCAGTTGCGAAGAAGGCAGCTGCGGCGAAGTCAGTGACGAGAAGGGGATCATCGGCAGCAGCGGCGGCGGCGGCTTCATCGTCGGATCAGCCAGCGCTCGCCTCGACAGTGGCATCCAAGAAGCGAGCAGCGTCGAGCTCCGCCGCCAAGAAGGTGGCCTCTCCCGCGAAGAAGCAGAAGGTTGCTGCTGCCAAAAAGGCCAAGACGAGCCCGGCCAAGGCCAAATCTCCCGCGAAGAAGGTCGCGACGCGGGCATCCAAATCGAAAGCCGTGCCGGCAGCGGCCAAGGCGAAGAAGGCCGGCGCTCCGAAGAAGGTTGCAAAGAAAGTTGGATCGCCCGCCAAGAAAGCTGCGAGGAAGGCAGCCAAGTAGGAGATCATCGAAGCGATACGATCAGTCGACGATCCGATAGATACTCAACATCAACTCTAGACAACACCAAAGATGAATCAACAACACCAACACTCCCAGCATCAATCAATCAACCAATCAAGCAGTCATCCATCCAGCGAAGATCCAAACACGAGATGGAACGAAAAAGTGGAAGGTGGTCCGGCTTTTGTCTCGTTCTCTTCATTTCTGGCTTGCTTTTCTTCTGTTCTTTCTTTTTTTCTTCTTGTAGCTGCTGCTGCGGTGGCTCGACGTACTACCGGGGAGTTTTAGAGGACTGGATTGCAATCCAAATTATCCAATCCATCCCTGGACTCCTCAGGGGTACTATACATATGAAAGAGAGATTAAGAAACCATGTACACTTAGCAGCATTGTGTGTAAAATTAATTACCACGATTGGAATTCCTTATACTTCTAGCAAGTTTCTTCCTACATACAAACGAGAATCTTAGTTCGAGATAAAAACTCTAATCCAAAACAGAAGAGCTCGAAGATCACTGTCGACGAGCTCGGCACACCACGATTGGGATGCCTTATACTTCTAGCAAGTTTCTTCCTACATTCATACAAAAGATCACAATTTGGAAGCCCTGAGAAGATTAGTTCGAAATGAAAACTCTAATCCAAAACAGAAGAGCTCGAAGATCACAGTCGACGAGCTCGCTTTTAAAGCTTGAGTCTAAGCCACCAAAGTGTTCGCGGTTGCGGATTCACTGCCAAGATCAACACGTAAGATCAACGTAAGTTTCTGGAGCTAGAACTAGAACGAGAGAGAAAAGAAGAACACTCACTACTTCCAGGTTGGAGGGAGCTTCTTGGTCCTCTTGTAGTATCTTGCGAGGCGGTGGACTCTGCTCTCGATGAGGATGAGGCGGAACTTGGAGTCCTTGTCCTTCCGGTTTCGCTCCAGATGCTTGCGAACAGCCACGGCCTTTTTGATCAGGTAGTACAAGTCTTCCGGGATCTCTGGGCCCAATCCTGGAAACGAATTTCGCGAGTGAGCACACGAAAAAGAAGAAAAAGATTTGGCTTACCGTGGCCTTTGAGAATGCGCAAGATTTTGCTGCCTGTGAGCATTTTGACCTGGGCGATGCCATGGGAATCCCGGAGGATTACACCGATCTGGGAAGGAGTGAGACCCTTCTTCGCAAGCTTGCAGATTTGCTCCTCAACCTGTGGAAGGCGATTTCAGTGATTTCTTGCAGCTCAATCGATGGAAGTACCTCCTGTGATGAGGTTTTGAGCCAGCTCGGGGCCGTTCTCTTGTAAGGCAGAGCCGAGGATGAAATACCCTTTCTGGAAGAGGATTTGAGAGGTGAGATCGCGAGCGCGAGGAGGAGGAGGAGGAGCTTTTACCCGGGTGTGTGCATGCGCCCCATCGCGACCGCCCAGTGTCAGCCGCCGCCTCCACTCCGCCGAAGAACAACCCTAGAACGAGGAGCCCTATATCGGACGGTCGAAGATTTTGTGCTCTGTGTTTTTAGGGCAAGGGCTAGGGATGGTGTTCCTGCTTCTTAAGATCAAGGCGGAGCTCGAGAATCTCACGAATCTGGTGCCGCAGGGCCCGAATTTCACCTTCTTCTTCAAGGTTTGCGTCGCATTTTCGAGATTCTTGAGCCGATCGCGAGTCCTTTTGGGATTTTCCGATCGATCGATCGATTCGTGTAACAGGTCCAATGTGGGAGCTGTGGCACGATGAGCGAGAAGCACAGTGGCGTCTCGGCGGCAGACGTTGTGGAGATTCCTAACAGCCGGGGAACTGCAAACTTGGTCCAGAAAGTAAGCAGTGGAAATTTCTTTGATTGGATTGTTCTTGGCAGAGCAAGAGAAGAAGTCTCTCAAGGATTTGATCGGCTTTCTCGCTTGATGCAGTGTAAACTTTGCAAGAAAACCGGGACGATCTCGCTGGTGGATGGCAAGAACAAGCCTTACACTCTGGAAGACAGCGAATCCGGCAAGTTCGTCCCGGTCATGTGTTTCGATTGCCGGGGCATGGAGCCCGTGGAGTTCTCGTGTAACAGCAGCAGCCTTTGGGAAGCCGAGGGCCTGGTCAGTAACTTCGCACTCTTTCTCCCAAGATTTCTAGAGTTATCACTTAGATTTAGCTCTTTCTTCCAAGTTTCCTAAAGTTCACTTAGATTTAGCTCTAGCTCTATGAGCTCGATCGATCGATCACTCACTACTCCAGATTTCCTTCCAGAATTCCGGGACGAGATTCTCCAACATCGATCTGAGCGATGGAGAGTTCGTGGAATACGACGAGAAAGCCGCCGAGTCCGTGGGGATCTACAAGCTAGAACATAGATTCGAAACAACAAGCAACAGATAACACCTCCCTCAAATGGGAGCGCTGCGCGTTTTACTCTCCTGCCAACACGTGTGCACATTACGTGGATAGCTTCTCTGACGAGAAACCCTAAAATCTCCCACGCATTGGTCTATTTTCAGTCGAGCGATGCGCCAGGCGGTAAATAGGACGGTATGAATCGCGGTAAGCTGGAAGCTCTCTCCTTCTAGGGTTCTTGTAGCTGATCGCCTTGGATCTCCTCCTCCAGCCCGCCAGGAATTCCATCCGATTGCCCTAGAATGCAGCAGGCATGTGGCGCTGGCCTAGAATCTGGGGCTGCCGCGTAGCGATTGGATTATCATGCTGTCTTGGGGATTGCTACTCGATCGCCTCGACGTCGGCGGTAGTTTCATCCTTGCTGCTGCGCCCGGCCCCGACGATGCCGTGACGTCGATTCATACGTGGGCTGTTATCGTTGCCGGGATTTTTGTTCTTATCGCGCTCACGTTATCCACGTTTCTCATCTTCGAGCATCTCACATCGTACAACAAGCCCGAGGTGAGAACTTAGACTGTGTGCTAGGATTGTTGCTGATAGAATCGCCATCCAGGAACAAAAATGGCTGGTCGGGATCATTTTCATGGTTCCTGTCTACTCCGTTGAATCGGTAAGCTTTCGTTTTTCTCTTCTTTCAATTTTAGAGTAGATATTTTCTTTCCTTGTAGCTGGTGTCGCTGTGGAATAACGAGCTATCACTCGTGTGTGACATCCTTCGGAATTGCTATGAAGCGTTTGCACTGTATTCTTTCGGCTGCTACCTTATTGCCTGCTTGGGTAACTTTTCTCGCTCCGAGACTCGCACGCATATGTAATCTCTTTTTGCTGCATTGCAGGAGGCGAGGATCGAGTTGTGGACATGCTGGAAAGGCAAGCTATAGCGGGTCCGAGAACACCTCTTCTTGTTCGAAGTCGGTCCTCCGGAAAAGCGGCTGTCAAGCATCCTATTCCATTAAACTGTTGTTTGACGCCGTGGTCACTTGGGCAGGATTTCTATCACATCGTGAAGTTCGGCATAGTTCAATATGTAAGTACTTTGGTAGATAATCTCTCTGCCGTGCTCTACTCACGGCTTTTCGTCTTCTCCATGTAGATGATTTTGAAGACCACACTCTCGTTCCTATCTCTGTTCTTAAACGTTTTCGATGCTTATGGAGAGGGGGAGTTCAAGTGGTATTACGGGTATGGCTTTCTTTTGAACGGTAGGTGTGACTCTAGATTCTCATCAGTATCGCTGCGCAGATATCCATACGTGACTGTGATACTGAACTTCAGCCAGACATGGGCACTGTATTGTTTGGTTCAGTTCTATGCCGTGACGAAAGATGAGCTTCACCACATCCAGCCCCTCTCGAAGTTTATCTGCTTTAAGGCGATCGTCTTCGCAACCTGGTGGCAAGGTGTAGCGATTGCAGTGCTCTTTGGTTCCGGTGCCGCGAAAGGTGTTGCTCCCGAAGGAGTTAAGCTGCAGTCCAGCTTGCAGGATTTCATAATTTGTATAGAGGTGAACGATCCCTTTTTGTTTGGTTTGTGATCCATGTTTGTGTTTTGCAGATGGCTATAGCTGCTGTTGCACACATATACTGTTTTCCAGCAAGGCCATACCAACAAATAAACGAGTTTGGGCAACGCTCAGTTGCTGTCCTCTCTGACTACGCCTCGATGGACTCGCCGCTGGATCCAGACGAGGTGAAGGAAAGCGAACGACGGTCCATCCTCCGCTTCCTTCCCCCGGAGATGGAGAACGTCGCCACGAGCTTGAAAGAAAGCATGCAGGACGTTGTCATGGTCGGAGGCGAACAGGTTCGAAAGTTACAAATCAAAACTTGGCTGGCTATACTGACGCTTCCTCTCGGCAGATCGTTCACGACGTCAAGTTCACCGTCTCTCAAGCCGTGGAGCCGATGGAGAAAGGCATCAATCGCTTGAACGAGACTCTCCACGACAAGTTCCACCAGTTGCCCGGGCAACTCCCGTGGCACGGTAGGCACAGGAGCGGCGACGGCAAAGGGAGTAAGAGGCTTCACGCGTCCAAGGACGACGCTTGGATCAGGCAGGGGCTAGGGGGAGCCGTGAGAGGAATCGACGATCCTTTGCTCAGCGGCAGCGTTAGCGACACCGGGCTCTTGAGAAAGAAGTTCAAGGACTCGGCCTCGTATGGAAGTGGTGCTGAGAGCAGCGGCGAGAGCAGCGATCAAGGCGGCGCTGGCTTCAAGACGGGCGGGCGGCGATGGACGTTGAGGAGCTAGCGGCGGGGGAGAGAAGTTTTGGTTGCGGGAAGAACAAAACTTTCGAGGAAGAGCGTCGTGGCGGAAGGAATGGTGTAAAAATACCGTTAAAATTTGTTAAACCCTCGCTTAGCCGGATATTCGTCGCATAATCACGCACTCATAGATTAGGGTTTGTAGATGCCGCCCATGGCGCTGGTGGAATCCGTGATGGCGCTGGTGGATTACTCGTCGGAGGAGGAGCCCGCGCGGTCGGAGCTGCTGGAGAGCTCTGACGAGGAGGAAGAAATCCGCAATGGAGGTGAGGAAGATTATCATCGCCAGCAGAATGGCGGCGGCCACGACGATCCAGGGCAGCTGCAAGAGGATGAAGTGGTAGAGGATGCAGCGAATGCGCCGAGTTCTTCATTGCTTTCTCCAGAAGAGGCCTTCTCAGAGGTGAGTAAAGATCAAATAGGCATTTCTCCCCTTGGAAGAGCTTGAAAGATCGATGTTTTCGCAGATTACAGGCCCTCCGGAGTTCCTCAAGCACGCGATCAGTAGCGAGAGGCTGGAGCAACAGCAACAGCAGCAGCAAAAGAAACCTGTTGGTAAGAAGGCACTCTTTTCTCGAGTCTTAGAACACTCAAGAACAAGCTTTTCATCTTTGTTTGAGTAGAAGCGGTTGTGGAGGCCAAACCACAGCTGGTGGCTCGCAGCAGCACCGAGGCTGTTGTAGCAAACGAAGCAACAGCGTCAGCGGCTGGAGAAGCAACGCCAAGAGTGATCCAGCCGCAGAATCCTCCGGCACAAGACGCGGCCGAGCTTCTAAGGTGTGTGAGATGAAAGTTTGCTCTCTCCAGCTCTAAAAGTCTCCATCCATCGCTGTGATTCAGGATGTGCGTCCAGTGCGGAGTGCCAAAGACGTCGTCCGAGGGGCGGATGGTGTGCCCGGTTTGCAGGGACCGTCCTCGCAACAGCGAGCCGGAACAAGTCGACAAGAAGAGAGCGCCCAAAGTGAAGGACAAGGAGAAGAGCAAGCGAATGAAAGGACAGTCGAGTCACGCAACCTGGAAGTCGGAGACTGAGATGCAACTCCGGCAGCAGTTCGACTAACAAGAAGTAAGCTCGCATTTTGGACAATCCTCTCGTTGCATTGTTGGTAGCTTTTCTTTTCCATTCGTGCTTTACTGATTTGGAGGAGGGTGCTGTTGCTGCTGTTGGTGTTGGTGCTGTTGCTGCTGTTGTTGCTGTTGTTGCTGCTGTTGCTGCTGCTGCCTGAAAGCCAAAGCGTTTGGATTCATAAGTCCTTGGTTGAGCAGGCTGTTGTGGATTGTGTTGGGCGATGGGCTGAGAAGCGGATTTTGGTTGGGGTTCATGAGGGTGTAGTTTGTCTGTCCGGGCATTTGCTGCTGTAGAGGCAAGCCAAGCGGCGCAGCTGACTGATTTCCACTCATGTACACTGCAGTTTTACACTGGTGAGCTAAGCACGAAAGATTTTCTGAGCTTACAAGAGTCCTGAAGAATCTGTCGCTGAGAATGGCCGCCTCCCAATCCTCCTCCGAACTTGAAACATACACATGGAACTCGTAAGAACTCGAGATGGGAAAGTACGAAAGGAAATTACCTGTAGCCTTTGCAAGCCCGGTTGCGAGAGTCCTTGCTGAAAAGTAACGCGATCTAAGTTTCGTGAAGGGAAGCTTGTTTAAAAGAGAGAGAAGCGCACCATATTGGAAGAAAGAAGTGAAGCTTGGGCGTTTCCATAGTTCGCCAAGTGAGGACGCATTTGATTTGCTTGTGCCAGTTGCGGCTGGCCCTGCATTTGTGCGTTGTTGTTATGAAGCTGTTGTATATGCATTTGCTGTAGCTGGGGGACACCATCTCTCTGTTAGCAAATCAGCAAAGTCTTTCGTCGCTTACGTGCATGTGTTGATGGAGTTGAGCAGCGTGCTGTTGTTGTTGATTCATTTGAAGGTGGCTCTGAAATCGCAAGATTCTCAGAACTGCAAAGGAGCTCAGAAAGGGATGCTTTGATACCTGTGAGAATTGCTGCATTTTCGCGGATTGTGGGAGATTGCCTGCCTGGTTCGCCACTTGCATCTGGAAGTCTCCAAGTCATGGATTTCAGATTTAGAAAAGGAGGAAGAGACACTGGACCTGTTGTAGAGCTGGTGTAGGCTGGCGTAATTGGTGGAAATGCTTTTGCAGCTGCTGGACTTTAGTATTTCGCTGTTGCATAAGTAGCTGCTGTTGCTGTTGTTGTTGTTGTTGCTGCTGCTGCTGCTGCTGTTGCTGAGCTTGCAGATCCCCGGGCCTTGGAGAGTTCACAAATCCCGCCAGAGCGGCAGCTGCTGCTGGAGCTCCATTCATCGTCGCGTTTGCGATGATCTTTAAAGACGAAAACATGGTAAGATCGCATTTGAACACCGATATGAAATGCCGGACCTGTTGTGGAGTCGTCGGTCGCATTCCACCGATAATCGGAGCTCCTTTTCCTGTAGCGGTATAGAAACACGGTATGGGAACAAGAGAGAAAGAAGACTGGTACCATCGTCGGCGGATGCCAATGCCGAGGCGATATGAGGTGGTAGAACGACGGGAGCGTTTCGTTGTTCCGGTAAAATTCTGAGACCTGGAGGAATGGGACTTATCGAGATAGAAAAGCATAGCCCCAAACCAAACCTTCGCCAAAGTTTGCGGCAGCATGAAGCAGCTTCTCCTGTTCCAGGATTTTGGCCGCAACAGCCTTGTCAATCGTTGGGAGTGGAGGCAAGCCTTGACGTGCTCCAAGCCCGAGAGCTTTTCTCGAGTCGGATAAAACCTTCTCTGCCGCATCACAGACAGATCGGACCAGCTCTATTTGCTTCTGCAAAGACCCCAGAGATCGATCGTTCAAGTTCCATAGCTTTCTCTTTTTCAAACTTGCCTGGAGTTTCTCCGTTTGGACATGGAGCGGGAGATTCGACATTGGTTGCAAAACTTGCTCTTTCAAGGCCATCTCCTCAGCTTCCAGCTCGGGTAAAAGCTTGGACGAGAGCATTATCGGTAGAACTGCAAAGAAAAAAGAGAGCTTTTTCTTCGCCTTCACAAAGAAAACGCTAAGAGCTTACTCGGTGCCATTCCGGCGCTCACATTCTTGGGATAGACCACAAAGGCTCTCAGTATCGGCTTGATCTCCTCCACCAAGCTAATGAGCTCCAAGTTCACGACCGAGAACTGGCCCAGCACGTCTCCCCTGGCCACAAAACACTGAAAATCCCTTCCCAAAACACCACAACACGAGACTCACCACTTCGAGGATGGATTCGTGTGGATCGAATGCGTGATCCGGGTGAGAATGGCCTGCAAATCGTGCATGCGCGTCCTCAGCGCCGGGAGATTGCACTGCTGTAGGATCTCTGATTTTGGAGGAGGAGCCGGCGCTGGAGCCGCGGCCCCTGCTCCAGGCGCTGGCGCTGGAATCGTCGCTCCCGGCTGAGAAGCCATTAAATTTTCCTTAAGACCACAAGAACCCTAAAATTCCTTCTCTAGGGTTTTAGTCCGCATTTCTTCTTGCGAGAGGGAGGCGGCGATGGCGATGGCGGCGACCGATGGTACGTTCCTCGTCCCCCAGACGCAGGGCACGGTGCTGTGCTGCTTGTGTGGCGTGGCTATGGCGCCCAATCCAGCGAATATGTGCGTCTCGTGCCTGCGCTCCCAGGTAGACATCACCGAGGGCCTCCAGAAGCACGTCACGGTCCTCTACTGCCCGGAATGCGAGCGCTACCTCCAGCCGCCGCGCTGCTGGATCAAGGCGGGGCTGGAATCCCGCGAGCTCCTCACCTTTTGCATCAAGCGGCTCAAGAATCTCAACCGCGTCCGCCTTGTGGACGCCGGATTCGTGTGGACGGAGCCTCACTCCAAGCGCCTCAAGGTGAAGCTCAAGATCCAGAAGGAGGTGATGCACGGCGCCATCCTGGAGCAGAGCTACACGGTGGAGTTCGTGGTCCAGGATCATATGTGCGAGGCTTGCTCGCGCGCCGCCGCCAACCCGGACCAGTGGGTCGCCGCCGTCCAGCTCCGCCAGAAGGTGGATCACAAGCGGACCTTCTTCTTCCTGGAGCAGCTCATCCTCAAGCACGCCGCCGCGGCGCTGGCGATCAACATCAAACAGATGCACGAAGGGATCGATTTCTTCTTCTCGAGCAGGAGCCACGCGCTCAAGTTCGTGGACTTCGTTAGCAGCGTAGTGCCCGTCAAGAGCAGGAATGACAAGCAGCTGGTCTCTCACGACACCAAGAACAACTCGTACAACTACAAGTTTACGTTCTCGGTGGAGATCTGCCCGGTTTGCAAGGACGATCTGGTCTGCCTCCCGCAGAAGGTGGCCGCGGGGCTCGGGAACATCGGCCCGCTGGTGCTGTGCACTCGCGTCTCCAACACTTTGATGCTGCTCGACACACAGACTCTACGCTCCGCGTTTGTGGATGCGTCGCAGTACTGGAGGGTTCCTTACAGGGCTTTGATCTCGAGCAGGCAGCTCGTGGAGTACGTTGTTCTTGACATCGAGATCGACTCTCCGGCCGAGAGCAGCAGCCAGAAGTACGTTCTCGCCCACGCACAGGTGGTGAGGAGCTCCGACTTTGGCAAGAACGACACCATGTTTAACGTGAGGACTCATCTCGGGCACTTGCTGCGTCCCGGGGACTATGCTCTCGGCTACGATCTCTACGGCGCCAACACCAACGATCTGGAGCTGGAGAAGTACCGGGGACTGGTTCTGCCCGAGGTGGTGCTGGTGAAGAAGAGCTACGAAGAGAAGCGGCAGAAGAGGCGGGGCAAAGCGCGGCCGTGGAAGCTCAAGAGCTTGGAGATGGATGTGGATGAGAGCACCGGAGGCAAGGAGGAGAGCAAGAGGGCGGTGGAGTACGAGAGGTTTATGGAGGAGCTGGAGGAGGACCCGGAGATGAGATCCAAGATCGCGCTGTTTAAGAATCCGGTAGCGGTGGCGGCGTCATCCATCGCTGGAGAGGACGAGGATGGAGAGCTTCCTCAAGTTCCTCTGGAAGAACTCCTTGGAGATCTAACGCTCGAGGAAGACGAAAATGGCGAGGAAGACGAAGAAGAAGACATGGAAGAGTGAGAGTTTGTGGAAACGAAGAATGTGAGAATAAATGCCATTGTGGTTCTAGGGTTTTTTATTGTGGGACTAGTTAGCTAGGGCTCTTGGCGCGTGGATGAATCGGCGCTGCTGCCAGGAGCGTCGCGCTTCGATCGATGTCTTGGGCTGCGCCCGACAGCTTCCACACCACATCTCTGGCAGATAATCTCGACAGTAAGTTTTCTCGCATCCAGCGCGCGCTTAGATTGAAAATCTCTCCAATCTCTCCGTCTTGAGCAGAGAAGCTTTTGGTTATCCTCCGCGACGGTCGGAAGCTCGTAGGAACGCTGCGATCGTTTGATCAGTTTGGTATGTGGATTATTTCGAGTCTCTCAATCGTTTCGATTGGAATTTTTTTAATTTTTTTTTCACTCTCTCGCTGTCTTCGTGCAGCTAACCTTGTGCTAGAGAAAGCTGTGGAGAGGATCATTGTGGGAGATCTCTACTGTGATCTTCCACTTGGGCTGTACATTATCCGCGGGGAAAATGTGGTGCTTGTTGGCGAGCTGGTAAATAGTTCTCTTTCTCTTTCCTTGTTTTTTTTGGTTCGTGGTCTTGACTCGAGCACGTAACGTAGGACCAAACGAAGAAAGACTTGCCGGCCCACATGGTTTTAGTGTCAGCTGCCGAAATCAAAAGAGTGAGATCTATTTTTTTTTCTCCTGGCTTTTGTAGCAACTGTAGCGTGTTCTTGCTTTATTCGCAGGCTCAAAAGGCGGAAAAAGATGCTACAGAGCTTAAGGGCACGATGCGGAAGAGGATGGAGTTTCTGGACTTGGACTGATTGATTGGTACGCCCCAAAGATTTTCTATTGATTTTGTGGGACAGAAGAGATCAGACTGGCGAGTTTTGATGCCATGCTGATCCATCATGGATGCTTAGCCCCCTGCACTAATTTTTTTGGTGTTCGATTGCGGGGGGTCCTAGGCTTCCTGTACAAGAAGAAGTCGTATTGTCAATCAATGTAAGCAGCGCTCAACTGTACACTCCTGGGTTAGTCCATTTCTTCGAATTCCATTCGGCAATGGGACTGGGATGTCCGGTTGTAGCAGTAGCGCAGGAACAGTGCCGCAGCTTTTCTGGGTTTACAAGGAATCATGACAGGAAGCAAAAGAGAGAGCTTTACCGGACACAGGTCATAGTCGCAGCAGCAGCAGGATTGCCATCGGAGATAGTAATAGGAGCAGTACGTGAAGGCTGGAACTTAGCATGGCGGACTATGATGCAGCAGCTAGCTCCACGAGATTCCGGCGATGGAACGTACAGGAGGCCAGAGAGCCAGTTTCGGGGCCGGTTTGAGGAGCCGGTTTCAGTCGAGCACGCCGGACGCTACCATCTGTATGCGTCGCCGGTTTGTCCGTGGGCTCACCGGGCACTCATCGTTCACTCTCTCAAAGGACTAGGCTCGGCGGTTCCTATCTCGCTTGCTCTTCCAGGGAAGTCGGGGCTGTGGGAGTTTGAGGCTGGTAGATACCCGGATAAGGCACATAACTGCAGTCGTCTGATAGATGTTTATCGGATGAACAGCGGGGGGTTTCAGGGACGAGCGACGGTTCCCATGCTGTGGGATCGTGTCAGGAAAGCAGTGGTGAACAACGAGAGCGCAGACATTATCGCGATGTTAAACTCGGACTTTAATGCGCTTGCAGAGAACCAACACTTGGATCTAGCTCCGGCATCTCTCGGCCAGGAAATGGACCGCTGGAACCAACTCGTCTATGCCAACATCAACAATGGTGTATACAGGTTCGGTGTGTTTTTTCCTCTCTCTCTCTCTCACTGACTCGCGCTTTGTGTCTTAGGTGTGGTTTTGCTCAGAGCCAGAATGCTTACGATCATGCTGTTCACAACCTTTTCTCTGCACTCGAAACTGTTGAGAAACACCTTCAGTGCTCGAGATTTTTGTGTGGCGACTCGCTCACTCTGGCAGACATCCGGCTGTTCACGACGTTGTACAGGTTTGATGCTGTCTACCACATTCTTTTCAAGTGCTCCAAGCGAAAGTTGTCGGAGTTTTCGAATCTTTATGGCTACATGCGACAGATATACCAGGTTCCTACACGCTGTTCAAGTTGTGATTGCTAGTAATGTCTTGTTCTTTTGTGTTAGATTCCAGGAGTGTCGTCCACTTGCAACCTCCCAAGCATAATGGATGGCTACTATGGGGCCTTGTTTCCTCTCAACCCAGGAGGGATCCAGCCAGCCATTCCCTCTAGCATGGAACCAAAAGTTTTGTACAACCAATAATGCTTAGAAAGAGAGTTGATATGAATTCTCAGAGAAATTTCTCCGTGTAACAAGTCTACTTGAAGTAGCACTACTTGTTGCATAATGACATTTCTCCTTGTCATAGCCATCATCACTACTTTCATATAGTTAGTTTTCCCTTAATTTTTCTAAAATATAAGGTTAAATATTGCCAAAGGTAATTTTACTATCTAACTCTTGATTTAATAAAGCATGATTGTTGATGTTTCTTTTAAAAGGTTTTAAAGATTGAACTAAAGGAGAAAATAAAAATTAATTAAAAATTAATATATACATAAACAATTAAAAAATATTTAGAAGGAACTAAATTTTCTTTTTAAGATACAAATTACTCTTTTGTTTTGCAAAACAGTGCATAACATAAGTTAATAATATATAATCTGTAATCTGTAACCTTTTATAAATATTAAAAAAATTAAAAATTACTATTTCATAAATTAAATAATGTATAAATAAATTTTTTAAAAATTATAGAAATTAATAAAAGTAATTTAAACTTTTATAATTCCTGTTTTTGCAATATGTTCAGAATCAATGTGAATGATGCATTAATATTTATAAAATCTATATATATATATATATATATATATATATATATATATATATATATATATATATATATATATATATATATATAAATATATATATATAATATTGCAAAACATTGATAGACAAGGATACACTAAACATAGACTAACAACTAAATTTCTTTTTAATTGAGCATAACTCGGATTTGCTCGCAATATATTATGGTGTTATAATATGTATTTGTAAAATTAACCTTTATTTTTTCAAAATAATGTATGTGAAAAAAATTTTACTTGGATGTGTTATTTATGTGAAATAAAATCATTAAAAATTGAATAAGGTAATTATTAAAAATTACTTTAATTATAATTGAGTCCAAAGATGTAAACTTCAATATTTTAAGCTTTACAACATATCTAAAAACAATTGCACCATTTTTTGGGATTAAATTAGCTAAAATTGAGTATTGTTAGCAAGTCTATTAGCAATAACATTAATAGTCTTAACTGAATAATATCAATATTTAAACTATTTAAAAGGTTTATATAAATTTATATTCTTAATAAATTATTTAGTTACCATTATCATGGACATAAACATTTTCTTTAAAAAAAAATTTAAAAATTTTTTTAAAATAATCCTTTAAATTTCTTGATAACAATCTTAAAAAAGATTGTAAACTTTGTGAAAGTATGCTAGTTTGTAATCGTTTATGACCAATCTGTGATGAAGTCCATAAGATCCACAACCAGACTGTTCACTTTGTCTATCAATCTCCTCCTCATTCCACTCGCAGCATTCCGTGTTGAAGAGAGCATCGAGACTGCTTGCTCCTCGGGTATTAACGCAGGCACCGACTTAGTATTCTAACAAAATCCCACAGTCAAGAGTTCTCCAAACTTTCAAAACACCACAACACTTACAAAGAATGGAATTTCATTTGTGTCGCCGTCACGAACAGTACTAGAAATCCACGATAAAACCTGCAGAAAACCTCTTTGGTATAGCAAAAAAGAGAGAAGAAAAGAGAAAGAAGTCTTGGATTTTCCAAGTGAAACCAACCAACCTCCGAGATTTCATCTGCACCACTGTATGGAGCAATAAGCATCGATGCTAAATCTTGCTCCTCATCATCCAAACGCCACCAGGTATTGATTCTCTTCACCACCGGCTTTTGATGGTTTGGATCTCTTCTAAAACGTATCATAAAAATTCTTGCCACGTCTTGCTCTTGGTACTGCCTCGGCCCGCAAGTCTCATGGACGGTTTCAGAAGGGAGGCAGTAATAGCAAAATTTCTGCACAAAAACGAGGATTAATTAACCAGCGAGCTATATAAGTATCCACCTTTTGCATTTCGCCGTCAAGCCATGATAGGCTCAAACGCTTGTCTTTGTATGCAGTGGCAGCAGCAAAATTGTGGCTATCAATGTCCTCGCTTACGAGCTCATCTTGCACGATTCTCATCGTCTAATATGAGAAACTCGTCAGCTAGAAACAACAAGAAAGAAAAATCTTACACTGCGGAGTTGATCAAGCTGAAAACCAGGCCTTCCAGCAACCACAACGCAGTACCATGTTTCGACATCTTTTCCAGATGCAGAGAAGTCTGCGGGATCACATCCAAGTTTGGAAGCCGTGATGCTTCGCAGCTGAGGAAGAACTAAAAGCGCGCACATTAAATTGCAATTCAAAAGATAGCAAAAAGAAGAAGAGCCTACGTAGTACTTACCATGAACTTTATGTTCTTCCACAGTTTCCATGAAGGAGTCACGGGTCAATTTACCTGCAAAGTGAAAGAAATCATCTCAAAGCTGCCGAAAAGAGGATTCTTACCATAAACAATTATGGGCTGGACACCAGGATCTTTGATAAAAACTACCGCCGGTGCCAACTCTAATCCAAGCCTGCTCCACATGCAAAAGCATGAATCAATTCACGTGATTATCACTAAAAATACCGGCTTTTCCAAATCGAAGCTTCCTCTTGCCTCCACAAAACACATCCAAAAGACATAAACTCGGAGTACTTCTTGGCCGCTTCTCTTACGAATGGAAGTGCACGCTCTCCTGTGTCAGAAAAAAGAATAACTTTCACCTAAAAAGAAGTGCAGATTTTGATTAGTGTCGTAGGATTTTGTTTATGCTACTATACCAGCACCTTATGCGGTCCAGATTTTTTAATGAACTCGGGTATCTGCGTGACTTTAGTCAGTGCTTGTTTTAGATTTTAGTGAAAATTGTGGCTACCAAGTTCTGAGAAGAAAAATAACGAATACGAGGAAGATCGAGAAGCAGCGTTGCTATCCAGTCCAGTATAGAATCGTAGCTGAGGCCTTTGGAGTACCTACAGTGTTCGTCAGAAAAAGCGGAACAAGGCTTCATGAATTTACCGAATCAGGCATTTTAATTCCCTACATCCCGGCGGCTTGGCAACAAGAGATGGAATCCCTGAAGAAAGAAAATGAAAGAAAATAGGAGGTTTACGTGTTTACCATGGCGTCTGATCCACCTCTTTCCTGCCAAGAGCTTTGCGAGTTGAACTTCTCCTAGCTCGACTCTCAAAAGATTAACTTGGCCTTCGAGAACTTCCGCTGGAATCACGAACAGCATGGCTGGAAAAAGCACGAACACGCAAAGCATTACCCAGTCTTTCCCACACTGGTGAGAACTCCCTTGATCTAGTGTTGACATCTGAGAAGATCTGAATCAAACATGGTGTCGTGCTCTCCAAAACGGACTTAAAGTTCGTATCGTCGAGGCTCGATGTGCGAGAAAGGATTGGACCTGTATCTAAAGCAGCTTCTTCTGACTGCCGCAACGAACATCGAGACCATTTCGAGAAAAATGAAAATCACAAGATCACCTCTACGCTGTCCAGGCCGAAGTGATCGTAAACTCGCCTTCTATATGCATCCGATAGAACGTAAAAAGCATGATCAACCTGTATTAACACGAGAAATAAAAAGAGGAAAAAAGAAAAGGAGCGAGAGAACCTTCGTATCCCTGCATATCGAAAAACGTCTCAAACGAGATGAAGCCACTGAGGGAATGAATGAACTTACAATGGCGACTTGCGCGCTGTATAGGCAGCCTGAATTTCTTCACTGCTAGCGTTGCCTCTCAAACCCAGAACTGGATCAAGGTTTCACCATCGAGAACCATCGAGCTAGAACCAGTAGTAACGAGAAGTACCTTTGTAGTGCGTCACTTTTGCTGGATGGAGGGCAGCCCACAAAAGAAGAACCAAGACGGGCAGTGATGCTACTACCCAGGAAGCCATTTCCAGCGAAAGCCCTCCCTTCGATACCTAGTTTCGATACTACCAAAGTTGCGTCTTAAGAGACGTGAGACTGTTGCAATCGATCATGGACGACGATGCCCAATAGTTCGTAGAGAGATGTGGAACTGCGCCAAGAACATCCCTGGAGCTCACAAGAATCCGCTTAGATGCTGCTCGAGTTCTTCCATTACGGGAATTAGTGTGATGCAAATCAAGCAAATCTGGGAGATGGAGGATTTGTGTTGTAACGATGATGGTTTGCAACGATAGAATTTAATCATGGAGGAATGCGTAGATGCTCCATGATTTGGAGCCTCCGCTTCATGATGGTTTTTCTTGGAATTGTGTTCCAAGGGACACTTCCTAGCTTTTACCTCGTCATGGTTTTGGGCATGGGGGAAGGACCAAAGCTTGCGAGCAAAAGGAAGAGATTTCGCTCCACAACTTAAGTACTCCTGTTCCAAGCAATCGGATACGATGCCAGTCCTTGATTGCTTTTAAGAAATTTCTTCCCAGTCCACCATCTTTCTATAAATATTTTGTTCCCCTTGAAATTTGGTAATATGGGAAGCCGACACTGCTTTTTCGCGCATCCTTTTCAATAGTTTCTTTGGCAAAGATGGTCTTCCAGCAATAAAACCAAGCCACAGTACTTTCAACATTATTTCCAGGGCACCACTTTTACTCCATCGCCATCTCCATCTCCACCACCAGCCAAGTCCTCATGAAGAAGATGCCATTCGCAACTCCGAATTCCAATCGACACTACTGTGAGGAGGAGGAAAACGGGACTCGTTTGCCGTCCAACTCCAGCGCTGTTGCTGTTCCTGGGGAAACAGAAAGAAACATTGTCAAGAGAAGCCCTTGAATAGATAAGTAAATCTCCTGACCCGTGCATTCATTCCTTGACTAGTGCGTGTCTAGCGGCCCAGAGAATATGTCAAAAAAGCTACACTGGAGCTCCAAACTTCAATCCCTCCCTGGAATTCCTGGGATGTGTAAGCGTAGTTTGTGTGTGTATAGTGTATGAGTGTCCACAGCCACAGCATCTTCACACAGCAGCAATCAATCCCCGTCTCCAACCTTGTGAATCTCATTCCTGCAATGAAAACGATCCACCATTTATGGAACACCCACACAATGCAAGAGAGCACAACAACAACAACAAGGAGATAAGAGACTGACTCAACACCTCTCTCTCTCTCTCTCTCTCTCTCTCTCTCTCTCTCTCTGTGGTTTTCTTCCCGGTAAATTTAACCAGCCCACACTGCCAGGGAGAAAA